TGTATGCAGTTTCTAAATAATTACATTACCTTTCAACTTCATTAGATAGCCAAGTGTCAGAAGACAATATTGGGATAGCCCAGTGCTCATACTTCACCAACAGAACAGGCACATAGCTTACTTATAATAGCAGTTATTGTTTATTTAATGTTTACTAATAGCCACACACTCTAGGATGTGCTCTACACAATTGATATTATTTACCTGTGATATTGGAAGATAACTATTATTCATATACCTGTTTTACAAATAAGATAGCCAAGGCTTAGGGAAGTTAAATAACTTGCTCATCATGCATTTGGGAAGGTTTTGTGAACAAGTACTTTTTATTATGAAGTAATCTTCCTAGATTAAAACTAAAATTGAAAGCCAGGTACTGATGCTTCATGCCTGTAATCATAGCTACTCAGGAGGCTGAAGTGTGAGGATCCAGTTCAAAGCCAACCCCAGCAGCAAAGTCTGTGACACCCTTATCTCCAATTAACCACCAGAAAATTGGAAATGGTGCTGTGGCTCAAAGTGGTAGAGTGCTAGCCTTGAGCAAAAAAGAGCTGAGGGACAGGGCCCAGACCCTGAGTTCAGCCCCATGACTGACAACAACAACAACCAACTACAACTTTATAACTAGAAAATAGGTGTTAGTAAGTTTCAACAAATTGCAACATATATGAGGCAATACAACTTATTTTCCATTTTTCAGGTGCTCTGTAGATTCTGATAAAACTGGAAGGGAAAGGGGAGGAGGGAGAAAAGACACTGTGGCTTTTCGCCTCATGGCTCCAGGTCTGGCACAGTGCCCAGCACATAGTAGGGGTTTTCTACAAGTTTATTGAGTGAATTTGTAAATAAGGAAGCCCTGAGTGTTTCAAATACAAACTGGCTTCACTTTAAAAGTTGTTTGGAGGGCTGGGAAGGTGGCTCAGTGGTAGAGCGCATGCCTTGCATGCCAGAGGCCCAGGGTTCGATTCCTCAGCACCACATAAGCAAAAAGAAAAAAGCCGGAAGTGGCGCTGTGGCTCAAGTGGTAGAGCGCTAGCCTTGAGCTGAAGAGCTGAGGGACAGCGCCCAGGCCCAGAGTTCAGGCCCCATGACCGGACCCAAAAAAAAAAAAAAAAAAAAAAGTTGTTTGGAGAGGCTTTTTGCTTCAGATAGAGGCTGCCCTTCTTTCTTGTCTCTGCTCCTAGGACACTATGCTCAGCGTCCCTTTGGAGATCACCTGCATGCACTAGCACACTGAGAGAGCAAGGGCTTGTGCCATCTCCTACTCTGATGAACAGAGAACTGAGGACTCCAGGTTCTTTCCTGATTATTGTGTGTGACTTCCATCTAGTTGGTACCCCATAGGCCTCTTTCACGTAGCAATGCTGGGGTGCTATGGGAGGATAAACTCCTTTCTGCTGTGAGACTCCCACTTAGTCCTGCTGGAGAAAGGGAATTCTTTAATCTAGAGGCTCTCTATCAGGAGGATCCCCACTCTTAGCACAGTGAAAGGCAGCCTGCTATTCCCACTTTGCACAGGCCAGGGAAGGAAGTAGGCTTGGGAGCAGAGGAAAAGTAAATTACAAAAAGTATCACCTTTCCCTTTTCCTCCATTGGGAAAATGATCACTTTCTTGAGGGGCTTAGCAGTCCTGTTCCAATGGGCCTTGAACTCAGGGGGCCTCTAAGCAGTTCAAGGCAATGCTATGCCTCCTATTTAGCAAGTGGTGGGAAATTGGGCCTTCTGCCTTTGGCCTCACTCTCTCTGGTCCCACCACCCACGGGAGGAGCTGCCACCCCTTCCTTCCCGGTGATAACTGATAAACATTCATCTCATCTGGATCTTAAGTCCTGCTTGCATTCACAAAAGGCCTCCACAAATTCGTAAAGTGTCTCACCCCCTAGTTTCTCCTTATCAGAAGGTGCTTCTAAGTATTGAGGCATGTGCAGCCATTTTACTTGTGTATTGTCTGACTTCCTCCCAAGGATGTGAGTTCTAGAAGGATGGGGCCTATGACCTTTGGGTCTCTTTTGCGTTCTCAGGTGCTAGCTTAATGACAGACACGTAGAGAGCACCAAATAAGTACTTGTTAGATGTGTTAAAAAAAAAATGACAGTCAATGTTAGAGGAGATAGGATTACTACATTTTTTTTTTTTTTTACCATAAACACGCACAGGTGATATATCTTGGTACTTAAAGCAATGTGGAGTCAAGCCCACCCTGGCTTTCCTTCTCACCCATTAAGTTACAGCTTGTCTGTCTCTGCACAACAGCCAGATTGGGCCATTGCAGAAAAGATAGACTTGCTGTACGTTGGAAGCTGGAAAATTTTACAGAACCACACAGGAGTGAACATACTGATTCTTGGGCAGGATGGCCGGTCACGCAGGGGAGGAAATGGAATGAATGTTCTAGGGGCTTGTGGAAGGTGGAGGCATGAGTTAGTTTCCTATGATTGCATCCTCAAGTACTGGAAGGGAAGAGGCTAATAGTATTCTGTGCCTTGACTGAAAAATGCAAAGGAACCTTGGAGGGGAAACTAGCTCTGGAATAGCAATTCTCAGAAGGCTCTGTCATCTGGGAAGAAAGGCAGATAAAGCAGTCACTGAGAATGACGTTGGATTGATAAGGGACAGGCAACATGTGGACTCTTAGGAAGCAAAGGGGTTTAACACAGGGGGCGTGGCTAGCCCTTGCCTAGCAATCTTGAGACCTCCAGTTCAAACCCCAGGGGAGCAGGATTTCAGGCCCTCTGAGAGGCTGCAGGGAGGGTGAAGTACATACAATGAGAGATTAAGTGGGAGCTGGTTGCAAAACATTTGTAAGGAGGTGGGGGCAGGAAGGGAATATGTGGATTAGGGTCAGGCCACACAGTGCATGGTTTCCCAAGTGCACTCAGATGGCTTTAAGATCAATAATTAGGCACTCACACAGTAAAACCAAGGGAGGATATTCTTAGGAGAGGAACACAAGGGCTTAATGCCCATGTGCCTCTGCGCATATAAAATATTTATCGAAATGCACTCCAGGAAATGGAAACAAGAGGTTTATTAGTGATGGTCTTTTCTTTTTGTCTCGTTTGTTCATTTATCTGTCTTTGGGAGGGGAAGAAAAGGATACAGAAATGGAAGGACAAAGGGCGAACCAAAGCAGCAGTGGTACTATGTTGAAAATGAACTATACAACTTGTGGGTGGGGAGAGGAGGGAAAAACTGGGTGAGGGAAGGGGTGACATTGTTCAAAAGGAAATGTACTCATTACCTGATTTATGTAACTGTAACCCCTCAGTACATCACCCTTATAACAAAAAAAATAAAGGTCAATGATTAATGTGGTCTAATTACAAAGGTGAGACATTTCTTGTGATACTCGTTGTTGATTAGACTTTCCCTCACTAACAGGACTGCAAACTACAAAGGTGGACTTGAGACAAATTGTGCTGTGCCTTGGATAGAGAGTTAGAAAAGACTGGGATTTAAAAGCAACCCTTCCCCCCCCCCCCCGCCACTATTCCTTTGTGTCTCCAAATCCTGGGATCCGAAATCAGTTTTGAGAGTCAAAACGATCTTTTCGATTTTTTTTAAAGCCCGTTTGAAACACCGTCTTCTTGGGGGACTTGCACAAGTTCATAGAGCATCCGGTACATGGCACAACCGAGGCCAGGAGGAGGCGGTTCGTGTGCGTGTGCATGCGTGTGTCGACCAGTCAGCAACGTGCGTTCCCGCAGCGAGGCCGGCCCGGGCGGCCCACGCCCGCCCGCCACCCTGTCGCCCGCTCCGAGGCCCTGGCCGCCAAGTGCTGGGGGGAAAAATAACAACAATAAAAAACCCCAAGCATAATGACCATCTCCAGGGAGTTTTGTTTTCTTTTCCCTCTCCCAACTTAGCCGAAAAAACAAACGCTCTACTTCCCCGGAAATGAGATGCACAGGGGAATTCATTCCATCCCAGAGGCTGGGAAGTCCTGTCCAAAAGAGCCTGGCTCCAAGGGAAAAGAACGCCACCGAGAACCACGTCCCGTCCCTCCCGGTGGCGGGGGGCCTCGCGATGACGGCCCCCGGGAGTGCGCCGGGCGAACGGGAGCTTCCCTCTCCCCGATTCCCCGCAGGATCCGGGGAGCCGCCGGCGATCGGCCCGGAAAGGTGCCCGCCCCGCCAGCAGCGCGCGCATCCCGCCACCGGGCCCCGGCAGCCACTCAGCCGAGATTTACGGTGGCCCCGGTGGCGGCATCCGGAGCCCGCTGGCGCCCAGGCTCCGATTACAGGTTCACACGGGGAAGCCGGCCCGCAGCCGCCCAGCTCCGGCCGGCGCGCCCTC